GCAGAAACTTTGCAAGACGTGGGATAGGGCAGAGGAAATACAAGGAGGTAGCTCTGAGTAGCACAACAGGAGCCAGCAGCTCAAGGGTGAAAGTCCACACAGGTGCCACTCACACACACAGAGCTGGTCCATCAGGTTTTACATACATCAACAGACAGAAGTATGCTTTCTCTCAGCATGTAGTCCTGGGATAGCATTCAATCCCGAAAGAGAGGAAAGCTGGCTTGGGGTGGAACCCACCTGGGGGAAGGATGCCCATCAGCTAACTCATCCCCAGTGAGACCAAGCCAGCAGTGAGTTCATCTAGGGCTTTGCAAGTCATTTTGGTAAAAGACTTAGAATTTCCAGGCCGAATTTCTGGCAGAAGTGCTAATAGTTAAGCCACATTTAGGAGGTCTAAAAATACCAAACATGCAAAAACTACCCATTTCATGACCAGTGTTGAACAGCCTCCTAAAGGAACTGGAGAACTTCTAAAATGTGATAGCCGGAACTGCTGCTGTGGCCCTTGCTGGAGCTGGTGGAACCTCTCTAGAGCAAAGGGTTAGAGACCTTCCATTTGAGATCCCCTTCCTGAGCAGCATTCCATGTTGCATTGAATCAAACTCACACAAAGAAAAAATTATCTTGGTGGATTTGGCTACATTTGCTCTGACATGGTGTTTAAAGGGAAAGAAGTACTTCAGCTGGGCTCCTTGGTTAAACATGACTGAGGAAACGGAGTACAAGATTTCAAACCCTTAAGACAGAAGGTGAGAACCAAAGGAGATGCATCCAGTATTGAAGAAATTTGCTCTCTCCCTTCGCCTGATGGAGACATTTGGTGACAGCATCTGCATGTTCTGAAAATCAGAAGAGGAAAATAACTGTGCTCTTAGTTATTGTTTACTGGTTACTCTGAAAAAGAATCTTCCCCAGCTGTTTGTCTCAAGCATGCACAAGGAGAATTTACAGGATAAGAGGAGATGCTGCAAACAGGATGATCTGGGGATGAAACAAGTAACCAGTTCTGGTGTCCTGAGGGCTGTGCTCTTATGGGATCATGGCTCTACAGACACCCCAGAACAACCTTCACTCACAACCGGCTGCCTTGAGCAAGTGGTAACACGAGCTCCTACAAAGTTGATTTATCTTGCTGAACGCAGTTCCTTGCTTTGCCCACTGGCTAGCCAGGAATTCTTGGTGGCCTGTAACACAATTATATGTCATGCTCTATCTGGTTTCCTCAGGCATCACCCAAGGCCACTTCTAATGAGAGAAAAGACTCCCGGTTCATACACTACACTTCAGATTATGGTTTGAATTACTGTCTGGCAGTTTGTCATGAAGTTTAACCATGCCAAATGCAAGGTCCTACACCTGGGTCAGAGCAATCCCAGGCATAGCTACAGGCTGGGCAGAGAAGAGATTCAGAGCAGCCCTGCAGAGAAGGACTTGGGGGTGCTGGTCGATGAGAAAATGAACATGAGCCAGCTTCAGTGTGCGCTTGCAGCCCTGAAAGCCAACCGTATTCTGGGCTGCATCAAAGGAGGAATTTCTTTCTTGTTAGGGTGGTGAGGCACTGGAATAGGTTGCCCAGGGAGGTTGTGAATGCTCCATCCCTGGCAGTGTTCAAGGCCAGATTGGACGAGGCCTTGGGTGATATGGTTTAGAGCGAGGTGTCCCTGCCCATCACAGGGGGGTTGGAACGTGATGATGTTAAGGTCCTTCCAAACCCTAACTATTCTATGATTCTATGACTCTATGATTCTGAAGACAAACAATTTCTCCTCTGGCTGGGAACCACAGCTGTACTCACTCTTTAGCAGCAAAATTCTCATGCAAACTTTCATTTGGGCTCAGGCTTAGACCTAATTCCAAAGCATAGAAGTTTAAACTTCCACCTTGATAAAGACCAGGTTGTTACCACAAATCTCGAAGAAACTCTCTAAGACTCAATTTGGAGTTTTAGAAAGCAGCATTCTTTACTGCAGCTGTGGCAGTGCATGCAAATCGTTTTGCAAAGGTGAACACACTCATTACTTGACAATAGCAGATACATATTTAGCATACTCATACATATTCACAGCTTTTCCATGAAATTATTTACATATGGTGACAGCCAGCATGGCTTCACTCAGAGAAAATCCTGCCTGACCAATTTGATGGCCTTCTATGATGGGGCTACAGAACTGATGGAAAGGGGTAGAGCAGTTGACATCATCTACCTGGACTTGTGCAAAGCACTCGACACTGCCCCACACGACATCCTTGTCTCTAAATTGGAGAGACATCAATTTGATAGGTGGACCACTTGGTGGATAAAGAACTGGCTGAATGGCTGCACGCAGAGTTGCGATCAATGGCTCAATGTCCAGCTGGAGACCAGTAACGAGTGGTGTCCCTCAGGGATCGGTGTTGGGACCGGTCTTGTTCAACATCTTTGTCGCTGGCATGGACAGTGGGATTGAGTGCGCCCTCAGCAAGTTTGCTGATGACACCAAGCTGTGTGGTTCGGTTGACACGTTGGAGGGAAGGAATGCCATTTAGAGGGACCTTGACATGCTTGTGAGGTATATGCATATTCATAATTATTCATATTCATGCTTGTGAGGTATGCATATTCATAATTCCCACATATAGATGGGGAATATTATAACTAGCTCCAGGAACTTGTTATCATAAGTCTCCTCCTCTTGGCATCTGTGCACTGCTTGTGGTGATTGTGGGCAGGGGTCTTGAGGATGAAGTAAGCGGTCTTCCTCATGCGGACGTGTCTTCAAGATGAAGTAAGCAGTCTTCCTCACTGTGTACTTTTCGCCTTTGGCACAGTTGGATGTCCTAGTAATCACAAAACTAGCTGAAACCAGCCATATCTGTAATTTTTCTGATAGCTGTCAAAGATTTAGAACAGTGTGACCTTCAAGCAAAATTTATTGCAAGCAAAACAGGAGGGGCAGACAAGGAGTATCCAAAGCTAGCAGATGTTTGGGAGGCACTGTCTGATAGCGGAATAGACTCCACAACTTCGTTAAAGTTGTAAAGTAGGTATGCTTTATTCAGCTGAAGACGCACGGGGGATTGGTCCTCCAAAAAGCATGCGTCCCTCAGTGCCGTTTTTCTTTTACATTTATCCTGTAAAGTCATACATATGTATTAGGTTGCACAATATGCCTATACATATTCATATTCTATCCCCGCTTCATATTATAATGAGCTAAAAGGCTTCCACGCATGCGCAGTGCCTCCTGGTGGTCTTGGGCAGGGGTCTTCAGATGAAGTAAGTAGTCTTCCTCTTGTGGGTAGGGGTCTTCAAGATGAAGTAAACGAGTCTTCCTCAGGCTTGAACTTTTTACCTCTGGTCCTCACACATGCTCTTTAGGAGCTGGATGGGTCTGGTCTATGTCCAACTGGTTTAATGAGCTATTCCCTTCCTTAGGAAGTTTTATCTTAGTACTGCCTGATAAGACATCTGCTGAGCTTGTCAAGCCAGCTATGACTTAAGCAGTACCCCTTGTACAAGCCCCCCCTATTCTCCTCATTAGGAGGTTCTGTCCTGGTACTGCCTGATAAGACATCTGCTGAGCTTGTCAAGCCAGCTATGACTTAAGCAGTACCCCTTGTACAACCCCCTCCCGTACATTCTGTCTAACCCCCTTGTACAACCCCCCTGTACACAATAGGCCACATTAGTTTCACTGTCTCTAAACAAACTGATAAGTAAGATGGTGTGATGTAATTCACTCATGTTTAGTGGGGCCACTAAATTCTGTTATCTCACCTCAGACTTACAACACAAACATTGTTCTTTATCTTCAACCTAAGTTAAGCTAAAAGTACTTTAACCCTATATTTTCCAGGCACTAGCTTTCCTCATATCAAGCTCCTCCTCCTTCTCTTTTACCTTTACAAATTCTTTTGCTATGTGACTCCATTTTGCTCAATAGTTCTGGCCACTTTCAACTTGTTGTCTAATCTTGTGTCTTTAGCAAGCTTTGCGAACTCACAGTTATATCCACATAACAACACCTATGATTTGGGAAAGCCAATACATTTATGTGTTTATCACAATACCATCCATGCAACCCATAGGCAAATCTGAAGATGATAAAGCTGTTTCAAAATGTTAACCAGAATCCCACTTTAGAGTGGGAAGGGGGGGGGGGGGTGTATCACCATTTTAAGAAGCCTTTAGTGTCTCTTATTTCCACATTTTTAAAGATAATTTGAAGCTAACTGCCCAACTGGCTTTGACTGCATAGCACGGATTGGTTTTATGAGGCTGTTCAGGCAAATGCTGGCACCAAAAGCTTTATCACGATTTTGGCACACGCACCCAGCATCAGCTCGGCCATACCGCATCCCTGCACCAATCAGCGCCAGGGGCGGGATTAAGGGGGGAGCTATAAGGCGGTGATTGACAAATTTCCGAGACTCTGTTTCTGTACGCGAGGAAGGGCGTAGGGTCAGTGTGCTGGTGGCCAAGCACCAGGTGTGCGTAGACGGTTCAGCTAATCTCTGGGGTTGTGGGTGTGGTCCTCCGCAGGGTCAGGCCGGGAGTGAAGGCGCTCCGCCGCTTTTTCTTTTGCTTCGCTTCCGGTTGTGCTTTTTCACTGCGGGATCCTTCCGCCATTAGCTGGCGGTAAGCGTACATCCCCGGTCCCCTCCGCCTGCTTGCTGCCTTCCCACGAGGAATTGTTTCCCGCGGTTGTGGCGGCGACGTGGCGGTTTTGGTGGGGCCCAGTGTGGCGAATGGAGGCAGCTGATGCCCGGTTGAGAGAAGGAGCGTCCCTGTGAGGGAGGGAGAGCGTGGGATCACGGAGACTTGCTTGAGGCCGCCAGGCCTTGCCGGCCAGGCACCCTGCGGCGCTCGGGCCTGCGCCACCGGTGGCCGCCCTCGGGGGACTTGGACTGTCTGCCGTCTGGGACTGTCCTCGCGTTCGTCGCTGCCGGCCCCCCTGGCTCCCTAGAGGCCAGGCTTGTCAGGGGGGCGGAAGCGCGGAGGGGGACACTTCGGGGGTATTGAGACGCCAGCCTTACGGATCCTCCTCGGGGCGCTGTAGCCTGCCTTCTCCGTCGCGGCCTCCAGCAGAGTGTGCGCTCTCCGGGCCGGGGAAAGGCGGAGCACCATGGTGGAGAAGCGGTGCCCGCGGCTGCAGCGGGACGGTGTGTACCGCTGGTTCTCTGAGCTGCCTTCCCCGCAGCGTGTGGAGTTCCTCTGCGGTCTCCTGGACCTTTGCATCCCGCTGGAGCTGCGCTTCCTAGGCGCCTGCCTGGAGGACCTGGCCCGCAAGGACTACCACTCCCTACGTGACTCTGAAATCAAGGCCAACAACCCTGCCGACCTGGGGAGCCTCACCAACCTGACGGACGAGGTGGTACGCAGCAAACTGCTGGTGTCTCTCGCTCTGCTCGGGTCTGCCCACCGAGAGGCGGCCGGGGTCCTCTTCCGTACCCTCACCCACATCGATTCGGTCATCAACAACTATGGGCTACAACTCAACGAGGGCCGCACAGGGGACGAGTTCCTGTTGCTCTTTACAATGGCATCCAACCATCCTGCTTTCAGCTTCCACCAGAAACAGGTCCTGAGGCAAGAGCTCACCCAGATCCAGAATATCATGGCCAGCACCAACAAGAATCCCAGCACCTCTACCCTCGATGCTATGCCAACCTATCCTGGCTGCCATAAGGTGAGTATGCTGCTTTTGCACACCACGATGGCCCTGCTGCAGGGCAGTAGGTTGTGTCTTCAGCTATGTTTTTAAACCATTCTTTTAGTACAGGCATTCTAGTGGTAAATGGCAGCCTAAGAGACTCGTGGTGACCACTTGCTTGGTTAATGATGGGGATGGTCAATTGAGGGCAAAAAGAAGGGATACATGGCGTTTTTATGGGCTTGTGATGTTTAAATGGGAAGGGGTTCACAAACTGATCAACGGGCAACAGTGTAAACCTTAACTGCTTCTGGCAGTACATCTGCTAAGGGGAAAGTCCTGCCAGTTATGTGGAAGACCAGTGATTTAGTAAACAAATATGTAGTATCTAGATTTAGGACCAAGCATCTGTTTTAATAGTTTTATTGGAAGAAGTTGGAAAGGAGAATCAGCTTTGGGAGTAGTTTTCCAGTGGCAAAGGCATCTTGGCAAGTCTTGAGTTTTGTTTAGACAACTGTGATGGCAAACACTGAGTTTCTGATGCTAAACTTGAAGAAATATCGTGGTTGCCCATCACCCTGAATCTCTCGGGGTCTTAGTGGTTCACTGTCATTAAATTGCTGTTTGTTCATTCAGCTGCCAGCAATTAAGCTAGGCAGGATTATTTTAAGATGTGCTGCTAATAATTACATATGTTACTGAGTGCTCAAGTGCTCTTGGCCTTCTGCAACTTAAGGGAGTTAAACTGTATTTTTGACTGAATTTAACCTGCTTGAAAGTTAAAGCTAAGTACCAGTGAGGTGGGGGTATGTGATCAGTTAAACAGTCTCTAGCTTTTGAGGATACATGATGTCAGTCAGTAAATAACTGTGTTAACCTTCTATTGGGAAAGGTGGTGTATACCTGAAGGCTATGAAAATTCCTGTGTTGGAGTAGGATCCTAAATAAAGCCTTTTCAGAGGGCTTAGTGCAGGTTTTGTTGAGTATTGAATTTCAGCCTGAGATAGAAATCTATTCTCAATCTTCCCCTGAATACATAATTTTATAATTTTGTTTGAGTACCACTGCTTTAATTGTAGAATTTAAATGAGTATTATTAAACTTTATATTTCTCTTAATTTTCCCTTCCTATGTTAAAGACATAAAAACAGTGCTTTTTCCTGGCATTTTCTTTTAAGGGGAAAGAACAAGGTATGGGATTGCCTTTTTCTTCAGTTCAAACCTTTATGTGAATAAAATATGGAAGGAAAGATTTCATGCTGAGTATAGAAGGGTATAATTAAAATCAGAAAAAGCTTCCTTTCAGATGCTTAACTAACTACTTGCACCTTCCCTTACTCAAAGGGTGCATGGACCCTAGGCTTGAAAGGGAAGACTGTAAATCAGATAAGAGTTTTCCCAAAATAAGGTGAGTAAAAAAAGATAAAATTTTGTGGGCAGGATTATTTATTTTTATTTTTTTTTTTAGAGTATGGTTTCAAAGCTTCACAATAGCCCACAGTATGTAGCTGAAAAGCTGTCACTATATCAGTCCATCCTACCATCTCTTGTGCCAGCAGTAAGGCACACAGAACAGTTGGTTGTTGGTTTTTTTTGTAGGGGGTGTTTTTTGTTTGTTTGTTGTGTTTGATTTTTGTTGTTTTTTTTTTTTTTTTGTTAGGGTTTTTTTTCTGAAGTCATTGAAGGGTTGTTTCTTTAAAAAGTACTTGTTGAATACTGGTTGCCAAATACAGAATATTTTAGAGGGAACAAAAAAAGGTGGCTTTGCTTTCAGTCTGTTGATTATGCATTTTGTTTGAACAGATACAGGTTTCCTTTTTTAAGATTGTTCCATTTTTTTGATAGCTGGGTAATTTTGCTACTTTTAGAGTAAGTATTTGGCTTAAAACAGGAGTTGGGTGAAGCAAGTGGAGAAAACAATGTCTTTCTTCATTCAGCCCAGTTTAAATATGCACAAATAAATTCCAACACTGTGGACTTGATCTCGTGATGTTACCAAATTATGTTGTGACAATACTTGTATTGTAACATGACCCAGGAGGAAAAAACCCCCAACAATCATAGAATCATAGAATAGTTAGGGTTGGAAAGGACCTTAAGATCATCAAGTTCCAACCCCCCTGCCATGGGCAGGGACACCTTGCTCTAAACCATATTACCCAAGGCCTTGTCCAACCTGGCCTTGAACGCTGTCAGGGATGGAGCATTCACAACCTCCCTGGGCAACCTATTCCAGTGCCTCACCACCCTAACAGGAAAGAATTTCCTCCTTATATACAATGCAGATGTCAAGAGAAAGTGAGTGGCAGTGGGCTGCTGCCTGCCAAGAGTTCTATGTTCTTTGTCCTCTTTGGAACTGGAAAAGAATTTATTCCCCAGTGCCAGCACTTTCTCATCACTCCTGTTGCTTTACTACAGCTTGAGCTATGTGAAGCCAGTACTTGAAGTTAGTGCTGTGTGTTAAATTGTGTGAATGCTGCTCCTATATTCTCAAGTGAAAGCCTCTTTGACCTCATCCTTAAAAATTAAATTGCAGAAATGATCACCATTTGAGGTCCTGAGAAACTTTGGGACTCTGGAATGGCATGGATGTATAACAGCATGCAAGTAGGGAGCTCCTTGGGAGCAGGGCTGGTTATCCATCAGCGTTTCCCTTGTGCCAAGTGTGGGAATAGGGACTAACACTTGTGTGACCATCATTTTTTTCTGTATAACTAGATGTCTGTTATAGTTTCTAGTGACTTGTACTGAACTTTTTTATTCAGGGAGTTGCAATAAAAAAAAGGTGAAGTGTTCGGTTGTCTTTGCAGAAACAAATATAAATGTGCTGCGTTTCCTTAGTCCTGTTAAAATATGACCCAACTTGATAGTACCTACATTTTTTTCCAGAGGATTGGAGCTTGCAATCTTCCTTCTGTCTCTTATCTCTTTCACATCTAATAGTGAAATATCTCAAAAATAAATTGTGAAGTGACTGAACAGTTGATACAAAATTACTGTAAACATTTCATGACCCCTCAAGTTACTTCATATCCCTAACCAACTTCAAATGTCTTCAACTACTCCAAAAAACTGCTTTTTGTTCTCTTTTACAGTCTGCTGCAATTGCTGAGTACAAGGAGGCTCAAAACAGCTGCTTTAATTTGTGCTCTTCAAGCTTATTCTTGTAATATATGAATCTTAACAGCAAAAGGTGGCTGTGGCTGGTTTTATGTTGGTCAGTAATTATTAGATTTGTGGTTTCTACTTGATATTTCCAAATGAACATTGTTACCTTGCCATGAGGAGGGAGAATTCTGCCTTCTCTACAGCAGACTATGGCTTTAGTTTCTATAAAGATGGTAATTTCTTCCCTTTGTCATAAAATCATAGAATGGTTAGGGTTGGAAAGGACCTTAAGATCATCTAGTTTAAACCCCTCTGCTAAGGGCAGGGACACCACAGCACTAAACTATGTCACCCAAGGTTCTGTCCAACCTGGCCTTGACCACTGCCAGGGATAGAGCACTCACAGCATCCTTGGGAAACCCATTCTAATACATGACCACCCTCACACTGAAGAACTTCTTTATGTCTATTGTAAGCTTCCCCTGTTTAAAATTGAACCTATTGCCACTTCTCTTATCTCTGCAGTCCCTGCTGAGGAGTTGCTCTCCAGCATCCTTATAGGTTCCCTTCAGATACTAGAAGGCTGCTATGATGTCTCCATGCTGCCTTCTCTTCTCCAGGCTGAACAGCCCCAACTTTATCAGCCTGTTTTCATATGGGAGGTGCTCCAGGCACCTTGTTCTCCTTAAGGCATTCCTCTGAACATGTTTCAACATTTCCATGTCCTTTTTATGTTGAGGACACCAGAACTGCATGCAGTACTCCAGGTGGGGTCTCATGAGAGCAGAGTAGAGGGGCAGGATCACCTCCTTCGACCTGATGGTCACACTCATTTTGATGCAGCCCAGGATACGGTTGGTTTCTGGGCTGTGAGTGCACACTGAAGCTGGCTCATGTTCATTTTCTCATCAACCAGCACCCCCAAGTCCTTCTCCACAGGGCTGCTGTGAATCTCTTCTCTGCCACACCTGTAGCTGTGCCTGGGATTGCTCTCACCCAGGTGTAGGACCTTGCACTTGGCTTGGTTGAACTTAATAAGGTTGGCATCAGCCCACCTCACAAGCCTTTCAGGGTCCCTCTGGATGGTGTTCCTTCCTTCCAGCATATCAACAGCACCATGCACCTTGCTGTCATCAGTAAGCTTGCTGAGTGCTTGCTCAAACCCACTGTCTGTGGCACTGACAAAGATGTTGAAAAAGATCAGTCCCAACACAGTTCACAGAGGGACACCAGTCATTACTGTTTTCCAGCTGGACGTTGAGCTACTGACCACAACTGTTTCTGTGCAGGCATCCAGCCAGATTTTTGTCCACCTATCAAATCGATGCCTCTCCAATTTAGAGACAAGAATGTCATGCAGGACAGTGTTCGATGCTTTGCACAAGTCCAGGCAGCTGATGTCAACTGCTCTACCCATGTCATAGAATCATAGAATAGTTAGGGTTGGAAAAGACCTTAAGGTCATTGAGTTCCAACCCCCCTACTATGGGTAGGGAAACCTCACATTAAGCCATGCCACCCAAGGCTCTGTCCAACCTGGCCTTGAACACTGCCAGGGATGGAGCATTCACAGCCTCCCTGGGCAACCCATTCCAGTGCCTCACCACCCTTACGGTAAAGAACTTCTTCCTTATATTCAATCTAAACTTCCCCTGTTTAAGTTTGAACCTGTTACCCCTTGTCCTGTCAAAACAGTTCCCAATAAAGAGTTCCTCCCCAGCATCCCTATAGGCCCCCTTCAGATACTGGTAGGCTGCTATGAGGTCTCTGCACAGCCTTTTCTTCTGGCTGATCAGCCCCAACTTTCTCAGCCTCTCTTCATATGGGAGGTGCTCCAGTCCCTTTATCATTCTTGTGGCCGTAACTGTCCATCAGTTCTGTTGCCCCATCATAGAAGGCTACCAAATTGGTCAGACAGGATTTCCCCTGAGTGAAGCCATGTTGGCTGTCACCAACCACCTTGTTTTTCATGTGCCTTTGCCTGCCTTTCAGGAGGTTTTGCTCCCAATATTTTGCCCGGCACAGAGGTGAGACTGACTGGTTTGTACTTTCCTGTGTCTTCCATTTTCCCCTTCTTGAAAATGTGGGTTATATTTCCCTTTTTCCAGTTCTCAGGTTCTTCACCTGGCTGCCATGATTTTTCAAATATGATGGACAGTGGCTTAGCAGCTTCATTTGCCAGCTCCTTCCAGACCCGCAGATGAATTTCATCACGTCCCATGGAGG